CCCAGCACAGTGAGGCCACACGCAGACCCAAATTAGACCTCGCCATCCCTGGGGGGCTGCGATCTGTGAAACTGTCGCCACTTTCGAGGCCTGCTGGGGGGCCCAGCACAGTGACGCCACGCGCAGACCCAAATTAGACCTCGCCATCCCTGGGGGGCTGCGATCTGTGAAACTGTCGCCACTTTCGAGGCCTGCTGGGGGGCCCAGCACAGTGACGCCACGCGCGGACCCAAATTAGGCCTCGCCATCCCTGGGGGGCTGTGATCTGTGAAACTGTCGCCATTTTCGAGGCCTGCTGGGGGGCCCAGCACAGTGACGCCACGCGCGGACTCAAATTAGACCTCGCCATCCCTGGGGGGGCTGTGATCTGTGAAACTGTCGCCACTTTCGAGGCCTGCTGGGGGGCCCAGCACAGTGACGCCACGCGCGGACCCAAATTAGACCTCGCCATCCCTTGGGGCCTGTGATCTGAGATCCCTGCTTTCGAAGTGGCTAGGGTTGCTCAGGGATTGTAACTAATCAACTCTATCTAGTCCTTGTCCTGTAGCCAGTTTCCTGCGAGTCTCCTGAATTCCGTCTGCAGACATATTTAACCCTCGCTCCGTCATCGCCCCCCTTATAAAGTGTCCTAAACTATTTGCGCCCCGCGTTTGCGCAGGGGTGGGGTACGTCGCCAGGGTAATTTTGAAGGGGGGGAAGGGGGGGATTTGGTCCTTGGGTTCCTCGTCCTCGTCTTCCTCCTCCTCCTCCTCCCCCCCTTCTGGATTCCCTAAGGGATCCCATCGATTCCGGATGGATTTCCTAAGGGATCCAGTAGATGTCCTAGGGTATCCTATAGATCTCATTCAGAATCCCATGGAAGAAACCCGATTGATTCCCGAAGGAACCCCATGGATATCCGCAGGAATTCAATGGATTTCCTCAGGATGCGTAAATATTGCCTACGGAATCCGATGGATATCCCGGGGGATTAACAAATAATCTGTTTGATTTCCTAAGGGTTCCTGTAGATTTCCTCTGGAATTCTGTGGGATTCCTGAGGCATGCTATGGATGTCTGAAGGACTCTTATAGATGCCCTACGGATTCCTATATAATCCCGAAGCAATCGCATAAATGTCCAAAAGAAACTTTTGGAATCCCTAAGGGAGCATATGGATTTCCGGAGGAATCCTATGGATGTCCAGGTGCTCAAAGGAATCTTATGGATTTTCAAAAGAATCCATGCGATTTCCTCAGGGATCTTATGGGTTTCGTACAGAATCCCATTGATTTCCCAAGGACTCCTATAGAGTTTCTCAGGAATCTGATGGATGTCCCAAGGAATCCAATGGATTTCCCCAGAAATCCTGTGGATGTTCTAAGGGATCCGGGGGTTTATTACGGATTTTAATGGATCTCGCAAGGAACCCTATGGATTTCCAAAGGAACCGTATGAATTCCAAAGACAGCCACTTGATTTTAAAAAATCGTAATGATTTCCTTCGGAATTCTGTGGACTTCCTAAGCTTCCCACTTGGTCTCCCATTGAATTTCATACGTCCACAGGAATCCAATGGATTGCTGGAGGAACCCGATGACTTTCTTAAGGAATCAAATGGTTTTTCGAAGGAGCACAGGTGGTTTCCAAAGGAGTATTCTGGATTCCATGACGGAACCTTTTTGCATGTCCAGAGGAATCCGACGGATGTCCCAAGGGATCTTAAGGATCTCCGGCGCGAATTTTTAGATTTTCTTTGGAATCCAATGGGTTTCCTACGGAACCCAAAGGGTTTCCGAAGGACTACGATGGATGTCCTCATGATTATTCTAGAATTCTGCGTCGATCTTATGGTATTCGTATCTCCGCACCCGATGGTTTCGGCTGCGTCGCCCCTTTTTCCACCCACCCACCCTGCAATAGGTAGTGGGGCCGTGCCCCCCGACCAGGTGGGGGGCGTGGGTCCTGACGGACTCATCCCGAGCGTCATCCAATATATACATCCGAATCTCCCGCTGCTCCCCCCCAGTGTAGAGTATAGGGACCGTCTGGAGGAATTTGTATGTATGTCTGTATGTATGCATGTACATATGTACGTATGCGTATATGCTTGTTTGTATGTGTGTATGTATGGAGGTATGTATGCCAATTTATGTATGTATGTATGTATGTATGTATGTATGTATGTATGTATGTATGTATGTATGCATGCATGCATGTATGTATGTATGTATGTATTTATGTATGTATGTATGTATGTATGCATGTATGCATGCATGCATGCATGCATGCATGCATGTGTGCATTTGTATGTTTCCATGTTTGCATGCATGTGTGTTCAATCATGTGTTTTAAACTGCGTATGTACACACACACACATATATATATATATATCAAAATATGCCTGCATGCGTGTATGTGTGTATGTACGCATGTTTATATATATACACATACATATGTATGTGTATATATATGTGTGTAGGTATGTGTGTTTGTAAGTCGGTATATCGAGAAGTACACATACCGGCAGGCATGTAGATAGGTAGGTCGGTTTGTAGATATACATACATGTATGTGTGCACATGTACGGCCTCCCGATCCATGTAGATACGTGTGTGTGTGTACATCGTGTACACATATTTATACACAGCCCACGAGGGCAGGTCTTATTCTTCCCGTTCAACATCTTACGTTGGTGTTCGATCAGGGGCCCTCAGCTAATCGCAGTCATCCAGCCGTCGCGCAGAAAGCCGCCGAGGACTGCCAGAGACCGCAGAATCTTGTCAGAGCCTGCCAGAGACCACCGAAGATTGCTGCAGAACACCGAAGACCGCCGAAGGTCGATCGGCAGCAAGAGGTCCATGGCTGATCACGTAGCTTGGCTATCGAACCCATCCCCGGGGTCTGACCAGCGCCGCGGGGGGAGCTGCCCAGGATGCTCGATTTTTCTACGGGGCCGCAGGGTGTCCAGTCACCAGCTGAGGGCTTTGGCTTCACCATTGGTGCCTAAGGAGCAAGGAGTCGGCAGCGCACAGCATGTCACACGCCAGCCCTTATTCCAGCGCCCTGAATTCAGCCCGAACGCGAGGCGCACTCTTACGAGTCTGGCCTGGTGCAGCTGCAGCTGACGAACGGGTATAACATCTTCGCTTGCGACGCCTACGCGCTCTTCACCGACTTCCCTACTAGGCTCAGCGACGGGAGGGAGGTACACCGAAATGCCTGCGGCACCCCCCGCAGCCGTGCTAGCGCAGCATCGGCATGTGTACATAATGGTTACCCGAGCTCTCCCCGAGGTTCTGTAGATTTATCCTGCTGCAAACCCCGTTACCGTGCCAACGCAACGTTGCAGTGTATACAGGGCAGCTTTCCCGAACTCGTCCCGAGAGGCTCTGTAGAATAATATTGTGTCCGTCTGGGAAGCGGCACTACGATGCTGTAGTGTAGCGTAGCGAGGCCACAGCTGTTGTGTAGGCTATTGGGGACATCTTGGGGTTGTCGGCTCGGGGGCTTCTTTGGGACGTCTATGGGGGCTTCTCATGGGCCATTTCAGGGGCATTTCAGGCCTTGGCCACAAAGTCTCTGTCCGAGACGCCGTTGTTCGTGGCAGCCTCGACCATGTCCTGTCGATCGCAGCCGAAGTGGCTCGCCAGGCCAGGAGGCATGAGTTCACACAGTTGGCTCCTCACTCATTCCGTGATGCCTTGTTTGCCTTGACGGGAGAATGCGACAAACACACATCGGGGATATCTCAGGGGCTTCAGGAGAGCCTCTCGAGGTCCTGTTGGGGTGTCCTGGGGCTGCCTTGGCCGCGCTCGGTCTGCCGAGCTCCTCCCGAAGGGGCTCGGGAGGTAAAGCCGTCTTGGCGCTGCATTTCTTGGGGCCGTATTTGGGCCCTCTCGGAACGCATCCCGCAGAGCTTCACGCTCTGAGGGCCCTCCCGCTGCGCGCTACCTTGCCTCCTTTCTCTGCCTATCGTCCTTTCGGTTTTCCCCCCTCGTGTCCGCGCCTCAACTTGTTTCGTTGTGTCCCGCCGGTGCCCTGCCGCTGCTTGGATCCGAGTGGCCGCCGACAAATCAAACCATCTTGGAGGGCCCCGGGGCCGTCATGAGGACGTCTTGGGCCGTCTTGGGGGCTCGAATGGGGGCTCTCCGAGGCCATTCTGTAGCCAACCTATGCCGACCATGTGGGCATATGAATCACCCAGGGTCGTATCCAACCCGTCAGCAGTACGTGGATCACCACCAGATAGATCCTCAACGATTGAATGTTTACGGAGGTATGCGATCCTTTGTGAACGTAACACGGACAGCATATACGTTGAACACCATGGGACTGATATGAGGCGACACCCGTCGACAATAAATGGAAGGGGTGCCGACAGACGGGCGACGACGAAAAGGAGGAGGACAACATGGGTTAATAAAGGATGGCGCAAGCCGATGGGCAAGGACGAAGGCTAGCATCACGAGGGGGAAGAAGCCGGCATGTAATCAGGATGTGTGATCGATGGCGATCATAATCTCCGAGATCGTCGCCGTGGCCAGCATGCCGTACAGGTGCAGCCAGGGGCTGTCCATGTCGTCGGCGTCCTTGTAGGACTCGGCGACGACCCGTTCGGGTGTGGTGTGGTGTTGGCAGGCCGCGGTCGTGAGTAGCTTGGCGTGCGAGGTGGACTGCTCAGTGGACGTGGCTTGCTGCCTGCGGAAGTGAGCGTGATGCACGTCCTTGGTTCAAAAAAGGCGCAGTGCGCCGTGTACGAGGCGTCGATCCTGTCCGCGTGCTCCGCGAACTCCTCGTAGAGAAGAGGCGTCATTGTCTTTGTCTATGCGGCCCCGCGCGCCGAAACGGCAAGCAACGCATGCACACCAGGCGCGGTGCAGCGCTCGACGGACCCAGCCCCTCCGAATGACGCGCAGGGCGGCCCTCCGCTGGGCGCCCCGCGAGTTCGAGAAAGTGGCGGTACCTGCGCAGTTGGTGGCATCTGTGGATCGGTGGCGAGCGACGAGGGGAAGTTAGAAGGAAAATGCCTTCTCAGAAGGCTGCGGGAATTCTCAGAGGCCCTCGCGCCTTCTGAGGATTTGTTCCTTGCCTCCGGAAAAAAGGCGCAGGCAGCTTCTCAGAAGGCCGTGGAGTTGTTAACCCTCTTCCTCCGCCGTTTCTGTGCTGCCGCCGCCTTCTGCTGACGCGCCTTCTTGCGCGTCCGCAGCTGTTCTAGTGTGAAACAAGTGGGCACCGTGGGCCCACCTTCACGTGAGGAAAATGGAGCGTGCGCCGTGTCGTCGCCGTGTCGTCGTCTCCCTTCCCCGTGCATCAATCCAACACGTTTTAGCTTAACGGGCTCTACCGTCACGTCGTTACAAGATTTCCATAGCATTGAAAATACCGATATTACACCATCTTTATCACCCCAGAGGTGCTCTTTTCCTCTGTCAAATGATTGGCTCCCAGACGACATGCCAATGATTGCATCTGGTGCGCAAGCGGATATATACGAAGCTTCTGGCTCGAACACACAATTTGCAATAACCGAAAGCTTCGGCAACAACGTCGTATCTGACTTGGTGGGCCAGCCACCTCAACATATTGTTCCAATGCCACTCACGGATGGCCCTTTTGTCCAAGCTCTGGGAAGAGCCTCGGCGTTGGTTCAACCGACAGTTCGGGATGATGACATTGGACGTGACCTGTCCGCCCTTATAGCATCTTCCGACATATGTTCGATGCATTCGTCGACCAAAGGATGGGAGCACGTATCATTGACCTCGTTAGAACATTCAGACATAATACCTGGGAAACCGCAGTGCCGAAGCGACCTAAGGGGCCATATGACTTCAGCATGGGACATGGTTCGCCTATGCCGGTTTTCACTTTACTTGAAAGCCAAACGGAAACTAGTTTTTGTCCCGTGGTACGAGAAGTTGAGGGGCCGCCGGATGAACCCTTGTCGCCTCCATTAAACGCTAGGCGTCACAAACTCAGCTCCCCGATGGTGTCGAGATTTCGTGAGAGATCGATGAGCAGTCATGGTTCCAACGGTCCGCCTCGTGATTCATCATCCGGTATGTCGTTGGGCGCGAGGTATGTCGTTGGGCGCAGGGGCCGCACTGCCAGGCCGCGGCATAGAATCGATGGCCGGGAAAGGCGGGAAGTACCCTTGATCCGTAGCTTCGTGCGTGCGGGGCTTGTTCCCGCATCTGTCATCGCTGTAGCGTTCATTGGCTAGGCCCAGATCGTATTGACATGACGGAAGGCATCTGCTAATATTTCGTCACTGTTGCTTGGCAACAAGAAGAAGCGGAGAACGACGCCGTTAGGGAAAAAGGAACCCCGTGGACAGATCATTGCTCATATGCAAGCGTTTAGACGACGAAAGGACACATATTTGGCATATGCAGAAATCTATGAGAGAATTTGTTATTGCTCACGCAGCGGGCGCAACTGAGCAGTCAGGCGACCTCGGGGGCAGCTCAGATGTCTCTGATGTACGCTGAACGGAAGAAGACGGACATAGAAAAAGCTGCCAAGTTAATGAAAGTGGAAGGGGAAAAAAGAGACTTGCGGGGAAAATGGCTGAAGCAGAACTGCGGCTGCAGAACCGCCTCTGTCTGCCGAGGAAGCAGCAAAGCATTCATAACAAACGGTGGAAGTGGTCCTCCACGAGAGGGCGGCTCAGGCCCTGGCCCAGGCTGCTGCAGTGATGCAGCAGGTCGAGGAGCATGCGTCTGTTGCCGTGCAGCAAGCGACTCCCTGGGGAAGCTGCCGCTGAACGCTTGAGGATATTGATCAAAGAATTTGAGAGTATTTAAGAAGATATGATTAGACAGGAGCAGGGACACATGGAACCAACATCCGCACAAAATAATCGACCTCACAGTGAGACAGTTAAGCGAGAGGGCAATTTTGCCATTGCAGATTCACCTGTGGTGCCTGATGGTGTTGTTTCAAATCCATGGGCAAGCTCTTCCGCGTTGCAGGTTCAACCTGCGGTGTCGGGAAAATGCGCGCCGACGTTGCAGGCTCAGCCCGTGGGGGTACGACGGGCGACAAGTCAAACGATGGGGGTGGGCTTCAAATTTCGAACCCAGGAGCTTGCGTCCGCCTTCGCCGAGTGAGGCAATCACTGTGTCAGTTTTTGCGAATGATTATGCGGGCGGAATGGCCGCTCTTCGGGTTGGGCGAACGCGAGCGATCGCAGCTCCGGGAAGCATTGGGAGCTGCTACTCCTGTGCATTGCCAAAATTGGAAGGCGCGCCCAAAGCTGCAGGTCTCGTTGCAAGGGTCGCGCCGATGACCAAGCGGCGTGGGCGATGCGATCAGGGGGGGCTAGACGCAGATGCAGGGCCCGCCAAGCCAAGACTTGAGGAAGAGCGCTGGCGGTCCCAGCAATGGGAAGACGAAGTGAGAATGTCTGCCTTCATATAAACCAGGCGAATGTGCTAGAGGCAATTCGGGAGTAGAGGGGGGAATGTGGAGAGGCAGTGCGGTCCGCGCACGGGGGGGGGGGCCGCGGTTGTTCCGCGCGGGCAGAAGGGTGGCGAGTGGACGTCGCCTCAAGCTATGGGACACTTCCCCGATGGAATGCCGTACTTTCCAGAACTAGCGGCCCCGCATGACAGTCGCAAAAGTGCCCCACTGGAACTGCTTCAAGATCTTTCTCGAGAAATCGTTCGACGCTGCGGATGCTATTCTCGGTTCTCCTCCAAGCGCCCCCAGTTCAGACGGGGGTGGGAATGGGGGGTATGGGGGCCCGCCCCGAGGCGGAGGCGGGGGGGGGGGGCGGCGGGGGTCGAGGATCCGGCTTCAGCGCGCACTCCGTTTGATTATTGGAGACAGGCAGGAAGGGCCGCTGATGCTAAGTTGACGCCCGCGCCTAGCCGGCGTGACTTCGCGATTGGAAAGTACGCGCAGTGCGAGTCATATCTTCTGCGCAAGGGTGATCGGCCCTGGGTGGCTAAAGCGATGCGCCCAGAAGTGGATGCTTCTATTCTCTGGGGCCCAGGGCGGTTCGCGCGCCGTGACGTGTTCGCTGCGTTGGATTTGTCAGATTCTTTCAGATTGCGACAGAGGAAGGATGTGCCGGCCCATCGGGCGCATCTCATTCCCCGAGTTGGCCGAATCCAGCAAGACGTCCAGCATCAGACGCGGTTGCTCGCGGGGCGCGAGATGATTCGCCCCGTCTGCAATTT